GCAATCTAAGCCAAAATACCTCAAGAGCAGCAGGGACTTTGCCTTCTCTGTGTTGTATTGCAAAGAGTTTGAGCTCTTTAATCAGATAGACCAGGCTTTGAATCCTGACTCTGTCACTAATTAGCTCCGTGACCTTGAGCAAATGACCCCTTTTCTGAGCCACAGTTTCCTTGTCTATAAAACTGAGGTATAAGAGCTACCTTGTAAGGTTGTGTTTTGGATTAAATGTTATAACCAAAATGTAAAGTTTCCAACACAGAGCTTGGAACATAACAAGCACACTGAAAATATCACTTTCCCTCTTCCTTCTGTGCCCCCTTCTATATCCTATGAGTGCTCGGTACAAGAACAAAATATCCTACAGATGTTCACTTAATTCAGGAATTTTTATGTTATTAAATTCACCACCCCACTCACCCGAGGCCAATATCCCAGTGTAATAGAGCATGTGATCAGAGACCTAGGGATAATCTGAATCCTTTACCCTGATTTGGAGGGAGCAAGCAAACAGGAGAAGTGACTGGCCTGGGCTTCTGAAAACCAATGGAAGGCTGGCACTCTGAGTCCCATGGTTGTACCACACTGAAAAGCCTCTTTGGCCTCTTTGGCAAGGATGTGGAACAACAGGAACATTCATGTACTGCAGACAGAAGTGTAAATGGGGACAACCTCTTAGAAAACAATTTGGCATTAATTAGTAAAGCTGAACATATCCTGTCTACCCTATAACCCACCTTCCATTTCTGAATTTATACTCCAGAGAAACTTTCTTCTTTTTTTATTTTTTTTTTAATGTTTATTTTTGAGAGACAGAGTGCAAGTGGGGGAGGTCCAGAGAGGGGGACACAGAATCCAAAGCAGGCTCCAGACTCTGAGCTGTCAGCATAGAGCTCCACACGAGGCTCCAACTCATGAATGGTGAGATTCTGACCTGAGCTGAAGTCAGACTGAGGCACCAGAGAAACTTTCATATGTGCCCATGTTCATCGTTCATTATAGTCAAAAACTGGGAACCCCAGGTCTCTCGGCAGTAGAATGGATACATAAATTGTGGTATATTAATACAGTGGAATATTATAAAATAATGAGAATAAACAAACAATTCTACAATGAAATACGGATGAATTTTACAAACATAATGTTGAGCAGGATGCCTGGGAGGCTCAGTCAGTTAAGTGACCGACTCTTGATTTCAGTTCAGGTCATGATCTCAGGGCTGGTGAGTTTGTGCCCCATGTCTGGCTCTCTGCTGACAGTGTGGAGCCTACTTTGAATTCTCTCTCTCTGCCCCTTCTCTACTCATGCTCACTCTCTCGCTCTCTCTCAAAATAAATAAATAAACTTTAAAATTAAAAAAACCATAATGTTGAGCAAAAAAAAGCCAGACACAAAAGAGTATGTTTCTGGTTATATAAAGTTCAAAAATAGGCAAAACTCATTTGTGGTGGTAAAAATCTGAATAATGGTTACTCTAAAGGTAGGTAATGACTGAGAGAGGACACGAAGAGAGGTATATCCATTTTGTGTTATACATAATAAAAAGTATACCTTAAAATACATAAAGAATGAATCCATTTATATAACTTCAAAAGCAGGCAAAAAAAGTATATTTTTAGTGATACACATACAGTTGACAACTTAAAAACCTTGGAAAAATGATTGGGAGGAGGGAAATGAGTGGGATCAGAAAATAAACAGTTTCTAAGACACTGGCAATGTTTAATTTCTTAATTTGGGTGATGGCTATATGCTGTCCTCATTGTTATTACTGTTGTTATTAATTAAAATTACACTTATTTTCTATATACTCTTCTATATGTACGATACATTCCACAATAAAAGAATTTAAAATAAACCAAACCAACCAAACAAAAGCATGCACCTTTAAAAGAAAGAGAAGCAGAGCATGGCATTAAAATAGTAATTTTAGAGCTGTAAGAGGTTTCAAAATCATCTTGTCTAACCATCTCAAGAAACTGAAACAGAGGCCAGAGAAGTTAAGTGACTTACAGTGATTCAGTTAATTACAGACCCTAATCTAGAACTTAGTAAACCTCTTGGCTTCTTGACAAATGCTCCTTCCACAGACCCACCGTTTGGTCCATCCAGTTCTAGTTTCCCATTATCTTCCAGAATCACATCTCTTACCTGCACACATCAGAAAACTTACCTAGAGCATTTACTTTCAAATGCCCCCTCTCTGTAAAGAGAGCTTTCATACTATTCTTACTTTCGAATCTTATACTATAATAAAAAAAAAAAAAGAAGAAGAAGAAAAGGGAAAAAAAGATAACTTACCTATGTTATAGCTTTCTTTCCCTCCTAAATTAGAAATCTTTGTTGTAGGGAAAGGAGATCAAGAGAGATTATCCTCTCCTCCACATATACTCCAGACACTGAAAACCACTCAAAGTATCTAGTAGTACAGAAAGGGACCCAGGTATTTTGCCTTGTTAATACAGCTCTCTTGCTTCTCTGTATCCCACGGTATAGCCACACCAACATGCAGGATTACTTTTGGGCCTTTGAGACACAAAAGAAAAAGGGAAGGGTCTAAAAATAGGTAAAAGAAAACTCTTTGTCCAAGCACGAGGTTTCCTCTGGGAAGAGTGAGCTCTTCTGCCACCTTGTGACACAGAATGACAATAGCGAGCCCTAGATATTTTCCTACCGCTGCTCCAAGGGGGCAGCACTGGCATCTAATGTGGCATCTAGGAAAGAATGAATCTATAGAATACTTCAAATAGACAGACGGTGGGGGGCAGTGCAGGGAGAGTGTCTGATACCAAAAGGGAGCAGAGGATCACGTAATCATGTTAAGGTAATAGTAAGCAAAAATCATGAAACTCACGGAAGGCAATGGAGCCCCTTTATTCTCCCTACCCACCTGCCCTGCTAAGAGAATCCGGCAACTGCAGCAGGGAAAAAAAGTAATGCTCTAGGTTCCAGTATTGCTCTGGAACAATAAAGATCTGAGGCACTTATGTTCCCTCCACTCAGTGGCCTCTCTGCTCCTTTACATAGCAAAACATCTCAAAAAAGTTACATACACGTTTTCACCTCCGATTCCCTCTCAGCCCTTTCCTGCTTCTGCCACTCTGCTGCAAGTGCTGTCACAAAATTGTCAAATCCACCGATATGGTCTTTATTATACACAACCTCAACACAGCATTTGACCAGCTGATTCCTTCCTTGAAAGACTCTCCTTTATTGGCTTCTATGCCATCTACCCTCTCGATTTTCTCAGCTCAGATGTCACCTCCTCAGGGAAGTCTGCCCTGACCACTCTAAATGTAACCTCTGCTAGTAGTTCTTCACCTTATCACCTGTTTGCTACTTCACAACTATCACAACCTCTAATTATCTTGTATTTGCATTTGTATATTATCATTAGCCCTCTGCATTAGTTTGTTTTCGACTGTGTTTATAGTCTGCTTCCCATCATTTCATGTGAACACAGACTTGGTTTGGCTCACTGCTAGAATAGTGGTTGGCCACAGCACTTGTTGAATAAACAAGTGAAAGGCACCATGGTTGCAAGCTCAGCACTTCTTCCACATTTCAGGCAACATGCTATCCTTTGGTGACACCTCTTTCCATTCTGTTTCCCCATCAAGATTTCCCTTGAGCTAAATTCAGCCAGATTTCAACCTGAATTAAAATGCCAGGAAACAGGGTAATATTTAATTCTGATTTGCCTTGGATCTCATGAACTCCCTCATGGAAAGTCCCTTGACTCAAGCTCCCTTCACACCATTATCAGAGTGTCAGGCTCCACGACCTTCTTACACATAGTCCAACCTATGTTGGCTTCAATCAATTAAATTTACAGTGAGTAGAAAGACTGCAAAGACTCTTGACTTAGGCAGAGGATCTGAGTAGATCTTCACTTCTGTTGTATGATCCACCTATCTATGCTATCACAAAGTCTACAGAGTATACTAGATATATATATACTCTTTGCTAAAAGATACAATTTTAGAAAAATTTTCAGGGGCACCTGGGTGGCTCAGTCAGTTGAGCGTCTGACTCTGGATCTCAGCTCAGGTCATGACCTCACAGTTCATGAGCTCAAGCCCCATGTCAGGCTCTGTGCTGACAGCATAGGGCCTGCTTGGGATTCTCTCTCTCTCTCTCTCTGCACCCCCCCCCCAAATAAATAAAACTTTAAAAAAAAAAAGAAAAGAAAAATCTTCAATAGTCATCTGTCTAGGAAAGCCTTCCCAAACTTCAGACAGAATCACTCTCCCAGTGTTCTTAGCACTTCCTCACCACCTCTCAATGCAATAGTCATGGTGCAATGTGGTCTACCTATACTCACTTCACTATTCGGGGGTGTGAAAATGTGAAAAACTCAGTAGGTATGTTTGTGCTAATGCGAGTTTATGCATGTAACTGAATAAATTCTAGGGATTATTTGTTTGGAATTCTCTAGTTATAGAGGAGAAAACTGAGATTTAGAGAACTCAAGCAAGTTTCTCAAGGTGACATAGTTAATAACAGGGCTTACACTAAAACCCAATTCTATCAATTCCTAGTCCAGTGCTCTCTACCATATAATTCACTAACTCATTCAGTCCTAGTTTCCTGCTCTATTCTTGAAATCACCTTGCTTAATAGAAATCTCTACATCTCTTAATGTCAGTGTATAAATCTGTAAGCCTGTGTCAGTGAGCATGCACGTGAATGTCTATGTGTCCATCTGCAAGCATTTGCAAACCTTATTACTGAGTGTTTATGTCCTTCATTCTAGGGAAACCTCTAGGTAATTACAGTTCCTTATGTTGGCACCAGCAGTGAAGTCGGAGGAAGACTTTTTGAGTCACTCATTAATAGGAACATTTGGTCCTCTCTCCAATCACCTCTATTACTAGGTCTTAGGGAATGGGGCAAAATAGGGTGGAACCAGACTCTCCCAGGGTCAAACTTGGTTCCAGGGCAGTAAGAGCACCTAGCATGAAAACTAAGGGGCTATTTAAGAAGCATGTGCTCAAGCTAACATGGATACCATCTTGGTTTTCAGCCTAATCATTATATTCTGTGATGTTAGCAAGAAAGGTAAGAACAGGGAGCCTGGGTGGATCAGTCAGTTGAGTGTCCAACTTCAGCTTAGGTCATGATCTTGCAGTTCGTGGGTTCGAGCCCCGCATTGGGCTCACTGCTGTCAGTGTTGAGCCAGCCTTGGATCCTCTGTTTCCCTCTCTCTCCTCTCTCTCTCTCTCTGCCCCTCCCCCACTCACTCTCTCTCAAAATAAATAAATAAACTCTAAAAGAAAGAAAGAAAGAAAGAAAGAAAGAAAGGAAGGAAGGAAGGAAGAAAAGTATTTCTGTAACCTAGTATCTAAGAAAATCCAGAGAGCCCTAGAATGTGTTTGCGGGTCCATTCTACCAGATAGAAATAAAGCCACTACTCAGTAGGTGATGTTTTACGGTCATCCCCCGTATTCTCTTTCTTGCTTCTAGGCAGGACTGTAACTTATTTAACTCAGATAGTTGTTTCATGGTGAGAAGTCTTTAGAGAATGTGATGCATCCTTCTGTCTTATTCATGTAACCAACATTGAAAGTCCTCTCAGTGATAGATGGCTTTCTTTACTGGAGGGTGCTGTCACAGTTTCAGTATTATCAACACCTAAGGCTCCCAAATTCATAACCCTTATAAGATGCTGTCTTTCTTTTTCTAAGGTGGTACATCCAAACAGTTAGGGATGCTCTTAGGATAGGAAAGGTCCGAGTAAGGGTGGGAGGGTGGAATGGTACCATTTGCTGCTCTCTGATAACTGTTTATTTAAAACATGGTTTTTTTCAAAGTGTCCAAACATTTCATCTCTGAAATTACCTAATCAGAGTTAAGGCCAAACAGTCAAGATGCAGCATTCAAAGTGCAGTTCAGTACATTTAACAGATGAAGAAAACTCACTACAGCTTGTGAGTTATGTGCCGAAAGCATAAACTATTACCTATATGGTTTCATGGAAACCTGAAGAGATACCTTGTTCAAAGTTACATTTAATAAACTTTCAAAAGGGTTTGGGTTTTGTTGGTTTTGTTGTTTTGTTTGTTTTTGTTTTGTTTTTTTGAGGCCAGGAGAGAGGGGCAGAGCGGAAGAGAGAGAGACAATCTTAAGCAGCCTCCATGTTCAGTGAGGAGCAAGATGTGGCACTTGATCTCACAACCCTGGGATCATGACTGAAGCCAAAATCAAGAGTTGGATCCTCAATTGACTGAGCCACGCAGGCGTCCCTCAAGAGTTTTAATATAAGAAAGCAGGGGCTCCTGGGTGACTTAGTTAAACATCTGACTTTTGATTTTGGCTTGGGTCATAATCTCATAGTTTGTGAGATCGACCCCACGTCGGGCTCTGTGCTGACAGGTGGAGCCAGCTTCGGATTCTTTCTCCCTCCCTCTCTCTGCCCTTCCCCTGCTTGTGCTCTGTCTCTCTCCAAATAAATAAATTAAATTAAAAAATATTTTAATATAAGAAGGCAGAGCAAGGAGAAGAGATAAGCAGCGCTTGAAGGAATGGGTTGATTAGTCTTTTCATTAACTTATTAATTTCATTTAAATCAATTTCACCTTTTCTTCCCCCTAAATGTAATGGATTGGTACTCAGTTTTCTTTGAGCTAGGCTAACTCCTACTTGTATATTGTTAAAATCTTTTATGTTTATTTTTTGAGAGAGTGAGTGAGCGAGCAGGGGAGGGGCAGAGAGAGAGGGAGACACAGAATCCAAAGCAAGCTCCAGGCTCCGAGCTGTCAGCACAGAGCCTGATGTGGGGCTCGAACTCACAAACTGCGAGATGGTGACCTGAGCCAAAGTCGGACACTTAACCGAGTCACCAAGGTGCCCCTAAAATCTTTTTTGATAGTGTTTGATCTCCCCAATTGCAAGTTATATGAGAAGGAACTGTATTCCTTTGCATCTCCCTCTCCAATACTTGTAATTCTAAAGAGTACCCAATAAATTGTAAATCCTGACCTTTTTTTTGTTTCTTCCCCTCCCGCGCACCCCCCCACCCCCCACCCCGGCGAACTCAAAGATAGCAGCTGCCATGTGGAACAGCTGCCTGGGCTCTTCCCAAAGGATGTGAGAAGGGATGTGCTAATGCAAAGTAGCGAATGGGCCCTTCCTGAAAAATCATTTTGTCATTCCAGATACTCTGTACCTTTAAAAGAGGCCCATCTCCCCTATTCCCAGCCCAGATCTTAAATATCTTATTTTTAAAAAAAATTTAATGTTTTATTTTTGAAAGAGACAGAGTGCAAGCAGGGGAGGGGCAGAAAGAGAGAGAGAGACACAGAATCTGAAGCAGGCTCCAGGCTCTGAGCTGCCAGCACAGAGACTGACACTGGGCTCAAACCCATGAGCTGTCAGACACTCAATCGACTGAGCCACCCAGGCGCTCCGATAGGTCTTCTTTTGAGAATGGTTGTTTGAATTTAATTTATATTGAATGCAGACCGTAAAATACTTAAACTGCACAGATTTACAGTGAAAAGTGCTGATAGTGTGGAGCCTGCTTGAGATTCTCTCTCCCTCTCTCTCTGACCCTCCCTGGTTGCTAGCTCTCTCTCTCTCTCTCTCTCTCTCTAAATAAATAAATAAGCTTAAAAAAAAAGTTTGATAGCTATTACTAAATTACCCTCCATAGCAGTCACTCCATTTTGCATTTCTACCCACACTGTGAGAACGCCTGTTCCCTCTCAACTGCTGGGCAATGGTTCTTGACATCAGCTTTAAGTTTCTCTGCTCTGCCCTCCTTTCCTTCCCCTACCCATTCTTTCTGTCTGTCAAGTAGTTTATGGTTTTGGCAGTTTCCCTTTACATATAGGCAATCCCCTCAATGCTACTGTTGCACTGCTGGAAAAATAAAACTTGACACTTTAGAGAAACTGAGGGTTCCCAGGCAGAATAATGGGAAAAAAAACTTTAAAAACTACAATCTGTTTAGAGAACTAGAGATTGGCAAATAAGTGGATTATTGGGATGTTGGCCTAGGTACTGTAAATTATATATCCTCACATGACATAAATGTTTTCATTCCCCTGATTGTGCTTTCTAAGTTCATATGGTAACAATGTGGCAGGGGGGAACCCTCTTATTAAAAGGTTAAAAGATTCTAGCTCAGTTGGTTAATCGTCCAACTTCAGCTCAGGTCATGATCTCGTGGTCTGTGAGTTCAAGCCCTGCGTCGGGCTCTGTGCTAACAGCTCAGAGCCTGGAACCTGCTTCAAATTCTGTGTCTCCCTCTCTCTCTGCCCCTACCCCACTTACATTCTGTCTCTGTCTCTCCCTCTCAAAAATAAATAAACATTAAAAAAAAATTTTTTTAAAGATTCTGATAGTGTTTGGGGGGTTTGGTCACTTGATATTAATGTAAAGTAATTCAACCAGATTGTTTTCCTCCTAACAGTTGACACACCCCCTTAAGTCAATGGCAGGTATCAATAATAGTGAATTTAAGTCATTCTGGAGTCTAGAGCCCTCTCTACAGGGTGGATTTTATTTGGATATAGTGTGCATTGTAGGACTCAGGCAATTAAGGGAACTTTTTCTTAGAAATTTGGGACAAGGAAACCTGGGAGATTAAGGGGGTGGAGGGACGCCAGAGATCAACCTGATGTAATTCAAAAATTTTCCCTGGGTATGTTTCTTCCTCCTTCCTTCATGGCATGGTGATTGCTTCCTGAATGCAGAATTTAAGCTAAAACCCTGCACTATGTGAGTCAGTCAAAGAGTTTAAATGGATGTTTATGGATTAGTTTGCAGACCTAATTGTTATTCACAACACATTTCTATGGAACAATGATGAATTCCAAACAACCAACTTATGAATGGACTTGTGAAATAACACTCATTTAAAAATGTGAAACTACCTATTCTGAATTTAAACTTACATTGAATGGCAGGATGTCAGACTCCAAGTAGGGTAGAAATAAAAATTAAATAAATGGTCAAATATACAAGGTCGTAAAAGAGATGCCCTCTAAAATTACAACACTATGGTTGACATCAGTCTGCACAGAAAGCTGTCCCAGAAACAATCAGAAGACAGTTTGTGAACATGTGCACAGAACAAAATAGGAATTTGAAACTGTAAGGATGAGAATGTACTACAACAGTTAGTTGTCAGAAGATGTGGTTCAACATGGAACGTAGAAAAATTTAAGAAGAAGACTATTTATTACTGTTTATGGAATTTGGCCAAGGAAAAGATCCTCTATTACAAATATTCTAAAATTTCTTTCTGGTGGAGAAAGATGACTCATTAGGTCTTTATCACTGATAATTTATACCATCTAGTTCTTATTGCTCAGATTCTGTATTAGTCAAAAAATTCTAATTAGATTTCAAAAGAACCTATATATTTAGAACAGGGTACCTAGAAGAGAAAAATCCTACCTGATCCATTTAATGGATACATTCTCCTATGTAATTTTTTAAATTTTACTTTATTATTATTATTTTTTAGAAAGAGTAGGCGTGCACAAGTGCAGGGTAGGGGCAGAGGGAGAGAGAGAATCTTAAGCAGGCTCCATGCTCAGTGAGGAGCCCAATGCGGGCTGGATCTCATGACGCTGAGATCATGGCCTGAGCCAAAACCAAGAGTCAGACACTTAACCAACTGGGCCACCCAGGCACCTCTCCTATGTAAGTTTTTTTAAAATGTAGTATATAGATTTAGTATATCGATTGGCTGTTTGGAATTTGATTAGTGTGAACTAACTCCTAATGATTGTTTACCCCATGTGACACTGGGGTATAGAAGGAATATCACCAAATGAGTGTTTATTCTGTTATTAATGATCATTTCTGACAAGTTACTTAATTTCTCCCAGTGCTTAGTTTCTACAGCTGTAGAATAGATTTGGCCAGATGATATAATTTCTAGATATAAAAAGGGAGGTTCAGGTCTGAAGCACAAACTCAACAGAATTATGTAAGGCCTGCCAAATAAGCTCTTTATATTATCACAGAAAAATCTCCAAGAGAGATTTCCATTTAAATATATATACCTAATGTTCCTATTTAACATAAATTCTTTTATGATAAAGTAAAGCATCATCTCATCTCCTAAATTATCCATTTCATACATTTGGAGTTTGTATGCCCTTAAAGGGGCATTCTTGCTCAAATATCCTTAGCTAAAGAAAAAGTAATACTGCAACTCCAGCATCACTGGGAAGGGAGTGCTTGGATTTATAGATGTCCTCCACCTAAATGCTCAATTACCTAACAGATGAGACCTACAAGAACTGCCAACATAGATGGACGTTAATTTCGAAGCTTAGGCAGAACTGAAAATACACTGACAGATGAAGCTAATTTAAGTAGACTCTGAAACAGGGACTCCAAGGAGGTAGGAAGACATGCCACATTGAAATACTATTATCCCTGTGGCTAGAGGGCACAGTTCTACTAGAGGATCACTAGGTATTTCCTTCTCTTTCAGTCATAATATCACAAAGTTTGCAAAGTGTTTTCACACCCGCTTCCTCATTTTTGTTTCTGATCTTCACATTACTCCGAAATAGATAGACCAAGAATTACTTTATTATAACCATCTTACCGAGAAAGGAAACCAAAACATGGAGCACTTATGTGACTTGTCCAAAGTGAGATTTGTTTATCTTCCATCTCCTGTGTCTCATGACCACGTTATCACTTTGGAGAACTGACTGGCACCATGCTGAAAATACTTCATATAATTTCCTCATTTTTCCTTTTGAACCTGTTTGCTCTCCATCTCTGCCTATCTTTGCCAACACTGTCTTCCTGATTAAAGTGAAATCAGGGACTATTCCTTCCTTTGTAATTTCATGTGCAGTGTCCACTACTCTGGCCACTGGCCTCTGAAGTCAACAACTATCATTTTCACATGGACTTAATCAAGACTTGGGAAAGTAACTTAGAAAAGTCAAGTAGGACTTACAGACCTTAATTTAATAAGCAGTGATAAGACACCATTAAAAATGAAATAGGGGGGCGCCTGGGTGGCGCAGTCGGTTAAGCGTCCGACTTCAGCCAGGTCACGATCTCGCGGTCCGTGAGTTCGAGCCCCGTGTCAGGCTCTGGGCTGATGGCTCAGAGCCTGGAGCCTGTTTCCGATTCTGTGTCTCCCTCTCTCTCTGCCCCTCCCCTGTTCATGCTCTGTCTCTCTCTGTCCCAAAAATAAATAAAAACGTTGAAAAAAAAATTAAAAAAAAAATGAAATAGGAATGAACCAGTGTTTGAATTGGAGTAGGTCAATTCTGGAGCCAAGTGAAGTTAGTACCAGACAACAGCCAGAATCCATACATGTCTCAACACTTCCACAACTGGTTTAAGTCACCATCGTCTTTCATTTGGATTTCTGCAATAGTTTCCTAACAGGTTACTCTGCTTTGACCCTTGCCCCCTATAGTCTAACATAGCAGTCTAGTGATCCTTTTAAAAACAAACTCAACCATCACTCCTCTGCTCAAAACCTTGCCATGGATCCCCATTCAATCTGAATAAAAACCAAAGTCCTTAAACTAGCCTCCAAGTCTCCTGATATAGGCCCATTTCCTTTAGAAATTTCGTCCCCCACTACAGTGCTCTGTACTCACTCCATTCCAATCTCACTGGCCTCCTTGTTTTTACTCTAAAACTATAATATGTCAGACACACTCATTCTGCCTCAGGGCCCACATCACTCCCCCTAGGTCACTGCTTTCCTAGGCCTGTACTTAGCCAATCCCTCATCTCCTGTAAGTCTTGGCTTACTTCTTATTTTTTCAACGAAACCAGCCTGTATCACAGGTTGCCCAGCCACTGCCCACTCCCACCCCCAGACTGCTCCCTTACTTTGCTATGCCTTTTTTCTTTTTAGTAGCACTTACTCCCTTCTAACATACCATAAAGTTTACTGTATTTATTATCATCTGTTTCCCAGTCTCCCCTCAACCTTCCCTCCCTGTTGCTTGTTCCCTTGCTCCAATGCATCCAACTGATGTAGCCAAAGGACTGAAGCAGCCCTGGTACAGAATAGATAGCATTTAAAAATATTTGCTTTCTGGGGCGCCTGGGTGGCGCAGTCGGTTAAGCGTCCGACTTCAGCCAGGTCACGATCTCACGGTCCGTGAGTTCGAGCCCCGAGTCGGGCTCTGGGCTGATGGCTCAGAGCCTGGAGCCTGTTTCCGATTCTGTGTCTCCCTCTCTCTCTGCCCCTCCCCCGTTCATGCTCTGTCTCTCTCTGTCCCAAAAATAAATAAAAAACGTTGAAAAAAAAATATTTGCTTTCTGAAAGAATGAAATTGAGGAGTGCGTGAAGCTGGGTGGTCTTTCCTTCTTCCAGTTCTCTCTGCTTTCCCCAAACTGCTCTCAAAGTAGTTGACTTAGACTCTAGTCAGACAGACTTGCAGCAGTCATTAAGGCAAATTATGGTATTTCACATCATCCCTTGGACTTTGGAGCCAACTTTTTTAAAGGAGAAAACTTTCAACAGTGTTACACCCTCCATTGTTATTATTACAGGCTGAAGAATGATAAACAAGGTATGGTCTACTCCCTCACTCTGATCCTACGTTAGTTAAAGCCTCATGGGGATTTAGTCCATATCTCTACTAGTATCTCTGTCCTCATTTATTCTTGGCATATTTTGTGTCCACACCCTAAACCTATGGACAGATCAATGGGGCCACATTAGAAGTTTAGTATCAGCTGGGTAGAGATAAGGTTTTGTCAGGTACAACAAAGGCAGGATGAAGTTTTCTTGGTTGTCTTTTCATTGCTTCTTTCTTGTTTTATAGCTTGTTTACCAGGGACCTCCCAATGTAAGGTCTATGAAGTGATGGGGGCTGCATCAGAGACTTTTCCCACCACCACCTCCATAACTCTTGGGAATAAAGAAGGAGAGAAAACTACAAATATTGACGATTTTTCTAGCCCTTTGAAACAAGGTACAGAATAAGTAGGGGTGAGACAAGAACAGAAAGGAAAAGAAACATTTTTAGCCCCAACATGTTTGGGTCTTCTAGGATTTTTGGGGGGGTTGAAAAGTTACATGGAGTTTACACTAGAAAAATCACTCCATTTCTTATGGAAAAAAATCACCTTCTCTATAAAGAAGATCCCAGAAATAGTTTGACACCATTAATAAGCTTTTACTTCCACGCAAGTGAGCCTGCAGCCAGATTTAGGGACAGAATGAATTGTATTTGTGTGGTAGGTGATTCCAGCAATTGCATGTACAGGCAGACAACATTTAAACACTAAGCATCATTACAGTGAGGACAACAACCAAGAGCATATTTTCATCTGCACTGTTTTTAGGAAATGGCTCTCCCTAAATTGGCCATGACACAAATTCTGTAGATTTCAGGTTAGGTTACATCCCAGTTTCAACAGGAGAAACGTAAATATAACATTAATAATAACAATGCATATGAACCACTTGCCCCAAGTTTGCCTTTTGACCCAAAAGCAATGCCAATTCACCTTTGTTCCTCCTCATCCCTTACTAAAGCCAAGAGGAGCATGGGAAAGGTGATTTTCTAATCACACACAGTGCGTCGGTCAAGCACAAGGGGAGAGACCCTGAGGAGTTGTTGAAAGACAAGTTCAGAACTGCTGTGCACCCACCCCTCTTCCTCCCCTGAAAGCAATGCCAAGAATCATTCCTACTTGGTTATGACAAATCTCAAACCCCAGAGAAGGTGACTTATTGCGAAGAGGCTGAAAAGAAGGTTAGAGCAGCACCCATGATGCCCACCCCACTCCTGACTCTTGAGTCTGAACTGGAAATCCAGTCTATTGCCTCTGAATCAGGCTGGGCCTAGTAATCTGAGGAGCCAGAAGACCTTCAAGTCAGAGGGTCAATCACTTCCCTCTCTCAGGTTCTCTCTTCTCCCTCTTCTACTCGTCTCTCTCCTTTTAGACATAGAGGAGAATCTAGAGAAGAGGCAGAAATGGAGTACTGTGATCAAATTTCTGATTGCTGTTACCCTGTTGTTTAGTGGAGTCGCCATTATAGTGTTTGCCGTTTTTGAAGTCCCTTGCCCTGTAAGTTTGTTGATGTATGGAGTCCCTGGACTTGATCTATAAAGACTTTCTTCTGTTCCAAAGGCAGGTTGGCATAATGAAAAAAGCATGGACTTTGGAGTAGACCTGCCACTCACACTCACTAGGCTGGGTGGCTTTAAGAAAGTTGCTTGACTTCTCCAATGTCATTTGGCTCATCTGTAAAATGGGACTAGTGATATTAGCCTCTCATGGCATTTTTAATTAAGATCCTGTGTGAAAGGCACCTGGCACATAGAAGGTGCTTGCTAAATTTGAGTTCCTTTCCTCTGTTGTATTTGGACATTCTCTCAGGAGGAAAGATCCAATGGGACTGAATATTTTCTTTAAAAAAGATGATTTTCTTTAAATGGCCTGACAGGAGGTTTGGAAGATAACCAAATGCATACAAGCCACCTGAAATTAACACCATTTTCTCCCTTCAGGGTCAATGCCGAGGAGCCAGAGAGCTATGCCAATGCCAGAGGTTGTGCAGAAAGCAAAGGAAGGAAGGCCAGGAACCTGAGGCAGCTGAATCCCAGCTTGAATTTCAACCCAAGAAGGAAAGTGGTCTCTGTAGGGTTTACGTCTTTTGCTGGGAAAAAATGAGGTTAATATACACATGCTGGGAGACAGGAAGTTGTTTCAGTTATGAAGCAAATGTTGCTAATTCTTTTATGTGTCAGGAAATAGGTAGGTATTTGTACTCCTGTTTTGTTTTCTTAACATCAGCCCAGCCATGGGCACCTGGGTGGCTCAGTCAGTTAAGCGTTCAGCTTTGGCTCAGTTCATGATCTCGCAGTCTGTGAGTTCGAGTACCGTGTCAGGCTCTGTGCTGACAGTTCAAAGCCTGGAGCCTGCTTAGAATTCTGTGTCTCTCTCTCTCTCTCTGCCCCTCCCATGCTCATGCTCTGTCTCTGATTCTCAAAAATAAACAAATGGTAAAAAAAAGTTAAAAAAAAAAAACAGACATCAGCCCAGCCATAACAAATAGGGTACTTATTGAAAATACATTATTTCTGAGCCTCAGCTACAATCAATCAGAATGTCTAGAGTGGGGCCAGGAATCTTACTTTTAAGATTTTTTAAAATATATTTTTTAATGTTTATTTATTTTTGAGACAGAGAGAGAGACACAGAGAGCAAGAGAGAGGCAGAGACAGAGGGAGACACAGAATCTGAAGCAGGCTCCAGGCTGTCAGCACAGAGCTTGACATGGGACTCGAACTCATGAGCCGTGAGATCATGACCTGAGCCAAAGTCAGACACTCAACTGACTGAACCACCCAGGCGCCCCTTTACTTTTAAGATTTTTAACAAGCTCCCTAAATAGAAGTGGATTTACTGTGAAATTAATGAAGCTTAAACTTCAGGCCCCATGGGACTTGTATAAAGCTTGTATCTAACTTTGTATTTTTAAAATTTGTATTCTTTTTCTTTAAAAAGGGTACCCTCGGGGCGCCTGGGTGGCGCAGTCGGTTAAGCGTCCAACTTCAGCCAGGTCACGATCTTGCAGTCCGTGAGTTCGAGCCCCGCGTCGGGCTCTGGGCTGATGGCTCAGAGCCTGGAGCCTGTTTCCGATTCTGTGTCTCCCTCTCTCTCTGCCCCTCGCCCGTTCATGCTCTGTCTCTCTCTGTCCCAAAAATAAATAAACGTTGAAAAAAAATTAAAAAAAAAAAAGGGGGTACCCTCAAATTTTATGAGTTCAGAACCCACAGCATACGTATCCATCCCTGCTCCTAGGTAACACTCATATACACAACAAAGTTTAGGAACCACCGCACTGCAAAGTTTGAATACTTAGCAAAGCAGCTTCTTTCCTCCCAGCCCTTGGGTTTCCTGACAGCATCATAAGCTCATATTGCCCTCTGGGGTCTAAAACAGACACAACACCACTGTTTCAGCATGGCTGATTTAAAGCCAGTTTCCCTGCCAGAAGTGTACTCAGCCTTTCAATTCTAGACAGTGATGTGTGTCTTCTCTACAACATCCACAATCCTTGCTAAGATGAGGTCTCTGATACTTTTAAAATTAAAGATGGGGGCGCCAGGGTGGCTCAGTCAGTTAAGCATCCAACTCTTGATTTAAGGTCAGGTCATGATCTCACAGTTTGTGAGATCGAGCCCTGTGTCAGGCTCCATGCTCATTCATTCTCTCTCTCTCTCTCTCTCTCTCTCTCTCTCTCTCTCTCTGCCTCTGCCCTGCTCACTTTCTCTCAAAATAAATTTTAAAACTTTAAACAAATAATCCAGCACAGTGTACTAGAAGCTGAATAAGTTCTGGAGATCTAACACATAGCATAGTGATTATAGTCAACAATAATGTATTATATACTTCAAAATTGCAAAGAGACTAGATCTTAAATGTCCTTACCACAAAAAGAACCAATAATTATATAACATAATATATGGTAATCATATTGCAGTATATAAAGGTATGCAGTCAACATGTTGTACACAAACTTACACAATGGTATGTGTAAATTATATCTCAATCTTTAAAATTCAAGTACAGCAGGGGCTCCTGGGTGGCTCAGTCAGTTGACCATCTGACTTTGGCTCAGGTCATAACCTCATGGTTCGAGCTCTACATCGGACTCTGTGCTGACAGCTCAGAGCCTGGAGTCTGCTTTAGATTTTGTCTCCACCTCTCTCTCTGCCCCTCCCCTGCTCATGCTCTGAGTCTGTCTCTCAAAAATAAATAAAACATTAAAAAATAAATAAAATAAAATTCAAGCACAACACTCTTTTCACCTAGGCATGCTATCAGAATATTTTAAAAATTTTTTTTAAGTTTATTCATTTTTGAGAGAGACAGAGCGTGAGCAGGGGAGGGGCAGAGAGAGAAAGGGAGACACAGAATCCAAAGCAGGGTCCAGGCTCTGAGCTGTCAGCACAGTGCCCGACGCGGAGCTCGAACTCACGAACTGTGAGATCATGACCTGAACCAAAGTCGGACGCTCAACCGAACAAGCCACGCAGGCACCCCGGTATCAGAATATTTCTTATCACAGTGCTTCAGGTACCCAATGCCAACTTACTTGTCACCTCTGGTGTAGGTTAATATTTTCTATAATTCTGTTTCTGCTAATCTTGGATGATGAGCTAGTGTAAATTAGTATGATTTAATCAGATGACGTATATTCAGTTATTTAATCTGCATTATCATTTCTATTAAGCACTGGAAGATATAGGCCTGAACGGTAATCAAAAGTCTAGTCCAGAGTTAGAGGTAACCATGCAGTAGCAACATGGATTGAATTTCTCTCATCGACAAAATAAGCTACTAAATGATAAAGGAATTAATAAAAAGAATAAGCAATTTAAAGACATTACCTCATTTGAGCCTCACAAAAACTGTGATAGTTAGAGTAGGTATCAGCATTTTATTGATACTTAAACTCAGGCTCAAAGAGGTTTATGACACACAGCTGGTAGAAACAGAACTAAAATCTGGGTCTTTTAGTCCTATACTGAAATTTACTGAAAGCCTTCTATGTGCCAAGTTCCTTACATTTAAGAGGCTCATAGTCTATATTCATAATAGCTCAGCATCTAGAAAGTACACAGAAAATCAGATGGGACATGGAATCAGATATACCAAGAGTAGAATGGGATTAGTAAAAAATATTTGGTCCACAGAAACTCAGATCTGTCTCTTTTCAAACACAGTGAGATTTTGTGGGTCTGATTCAAGAAATGAAGTAGAATCCCTGTACATCTGGGATCCAAAGTAGATGCACACTCAGGGCCTTTTCCATTCAAGGCAAACAGGTTAAGCAAGGGGTGGATGGGCTCTTTGCTAGAGGGTTATAGGGCCCAAGCAATTGTAGGTTCTCATGCATAAGTGCACCTTGCTGATACTTTCTCAGTGTAAATACAATAACTTTTCGTAGAATTACTGGCTAACAAAGAGGCAAAATGATGTGTACTTGGAATTAAATGGGGTTTTGTATTAAGCCATCTCTTTGTTGGTACATGAAGAAATACCCATTTGCATCCTTCTTTATCTCTCATATTTCCTTTCAATCTCTAGGTTGGATGAGATGCTCCCAAGTCATCAAGTCCAAAGAGAGCTGCAGGGATCACTGTCATCCATGAGACATACTTCTGAAAAGTTCTTCTCTGCTTCACACATTGAATGGAGGATACTACACTGACTTCTCCCTATTATTAACCAATGTCAGCAGGTTCTTCTGAATTTTACACTCGTATCTTCAGCGAGGACATTACAAGCAAACAGCAATGCCAGACCAATGAAGAAGGAGCCTGGGCTTAACAGTCAGACTTACTCTCATGCCATTGCTATTGACTTAGCCACAAGCCTCTGAGATTCACTCTGTCCATCCACCAAAAATGGGTATCTTTTCATCCCATCCAATGAGAACAAAAAGTCTTCCCTCTGAGCACTATGAATGGACCCATTGCTCTCTTTGACAAAAGGTTTAAACATGCCTCCAAGGAAGTGGGCAAAGCAGCCACTAGTGTGGTACAGTTCACTAACTCCTCTGTTATCCTCACAGTTCATTTCATGCTCACTGGCTCTCAACCAGCTTAGGGTGGGGGATTCCTGTGTTCCCAAGCTGATGTTCATAGGGTTATGCCTTAACCTCTGCCACCACATGTAGCTATCCACACACTGGTGAGGGGAGTATAACCCTGAGCATTCCAGAAGTCCTCCTTCTAAGTCATCCCCAAGGGGCTTAGGGACTGCATACGAATAGGACACACGTGAGGTCTCCTGATAATCCACAACTCTTCCAAGTGGGCCTGACATTACCCCCCACATGTAACGGTGAGCTGTGTATATTTTGAACAAGGATTCCAGAGCAAGACAACTATGATGATCTTTCTTACAAAGCCTCTGAGAAAGTCTGACCTGCTCAAGTAAGAGTCTGGTGAGGAAGCAGGACCAGCTGATGTTAAAGGGAACAGGTTAAAAAAAAAAAAAAAAAAAAAAAAGGAACACCAGGAGGGATAAACTGTTGTTTTGCTTTTATTATAAGTGTCTTGAAACCATTCCATTTCACTTTGGTGAAATGTACCTGTGTTTCTAAGTTAATTCTGTTTTCTTAGTTCTCTGGTAAAAACCACACACAAATTGTATCCTTCTCTCTTTCACTTCAAGTACCGTCCAAAAAAGTGATTCTCAAAACAATACCAACAAGGGAAAATATCTTGCCCTGAGCCCTGATTTGAGATTCAAGTGGATCCTGGAAGAGATGGAACAGATGCAAAGCATGGAAAATGAAAGTTTTGCAAATACAGTACGTAGAGAGGACAGAGCACTGGGGCTGCTGTTTGGATAAGTGAGTATGTTATTTGCATCCCACCACGGATTCATAACATCGCCTCCAGTTTATCCTGCCATCTGTGGCTCCATCTAACCATGAGATGGTAGGGGGCAGGGGAGGGGAAGCTTGCTCCTTCCCCAGACCACCAGGAAGGACGATTAAAAAAATATTCTATACTTAAGAAGCTTTTGGTCTAGGACGGATGCCTACATTCATCTTCACCCTTCCCAGACTCACCAGAATATCCTTTAGCCCAGAAACATGAGGTTCCCCAGGAGGCAAAAACTGTAGCAAAGTTTACCCTTCTTAACTCTTCTGCAAGAGTATAATTGGGTAACATCTGTACTGACTTTATAGAAATTCACTGAGGGAGGGCGCCTGAGTGGCTCAGCAGGTTAAGCGTCCAACTCTGGATTTTGGCTCAGGTCATGATTTTACCCTGGTCAGCCAGATATCAGGCTCTGTGCTGACAGTGTGGGGTCTGCTTGGGATTCTCTCTCTCTCCCTCAATCTTCCCCTCCCCCACTCAAGCTCTCGCTCTCTAATAAATAAACTTAAAAAAAATTCGCTGATGGAATAAAAATGGTATATTTTGCTTTGGGAACAACTGGTTTCCTCCAACAACGCAAGGTTCCTCTGAGGATTTTCTGACTCCCTAATTAGTTAACAGTTTTGAATCCCAATTACCAGTAGGGATCTTTAAAAACTGAGAGATGGTGGGTGGGGCGCCAAGGTGGCTCCTCAGTTGGTTGAGTGTCCGACTTCAGCTCAGGTCATGATCTCACAGCTCATGAGTTCAAGTTCCCACATCAGGCTCTGTGCAGACAGCTAAGAGCCTGAAACCTGCCTTGGATTCTGTGTCTCCCTCTCTCTCTCTGCCCCTCCCCCACTCACACTCTGTTTTTCTCTCAAAAATAAATAAACATTTAAATATTAAAAAAAAAAAAAAATGGGGCGCCTGGGTGCCGCAGTCGGTTAAGCGTCCGACTTCAGCCAGGTCACGATCTCGTGGTCCGTGAGTTCGAGCCCCGCGTCGGGCTCTGGGCTGATGGCTCAGAGCCTGGAGCCTGTTTCCGATTCTGTGTCTCCCTCTCTCTCTGCCCCTCCCCCGTTCACGCTCTGTCTCTCTCTGTCCCAAAAATAAATAAACGTTGAAAAAAAAATTTTTTTTAAAAACATAAAAATTAAAAAAAAAAAAAAAACAGAGATGGGAGAGACAGAAGGGAAGGGAGAACTCTCACATGGACTCTGGGATGTGAATTTTAGTCTGTAGATCCTTTCACAGCAAGGCACGGTTCTCCCTGTTACCACTAGAGGCTCAGTTAGACTCAACTTAATAAAACACTGTTTCTAAGGAATGCCAATTATTCCTCTGGGAAGTAACAAGCCAGCACGATTTTTAACATTTATTTATTTTTGATAGACTGAGATACAGAGCGTGAATGGGGGAGGATCAAAGAAGGAGACACAGAATCCAAAGCAGGCTCCAGGCTCTGAGCTGTCAGCACAGAGCCTGATGTGGGGCTCAAACTCACAAACCATGAGATCATGACCTAAGCCGAAGTCGGACGCTTAAGCAACTGAGCCACCCAGGTGCCCCAAATCAGCACGACTTTTATTGCAAATTCATTCTCATTACATTACCACACATTGTTTCTTGATTATTAAAGTACATTCTCATTATAAAAATTTTTAGGAAATACTGGAAGGCCAAAGAATAAAAAAAACAAAACAAAACAAGAAATTATACCTAATCCTTCCTCCCAGGGATAACCAGCTAATACTTTGACACATCTCTTTATAGATATCATAAATATATACACATACATATAAAAGACATGATTCACAAATATCTTATTCTGCATACCATTCTCAACTTGTCCTTCTTTTGGGGCACCTGGGGAGCTCAGTTGGTTAAGTGTCTGACTTTGGCTCAGGACATGATCTCACCATTCGTGAGTTCAAGCCCCGCATCGGGCTCTGTGCTAACAGCTCAGAGCCTGGAGTCTGCTTCAGACTGTGTGTCTCCCCCTCCCCTGCTCACCTTCTCTCTCTCTCTCTCCCTCTCCCTCTCTCTCTCTCCCTCAAAAGTAAATAAACAGAAAAAAATATTTTTTAAACCTGTCCCTTTTTTGACTAACATATTACTAGAATGTTTCTAGTTGGCACATTTTATTTTTATTTTTTAAGTAATCTCTATGCCCAAATGTGGCTCAAACTCATGACCCCAAGATCAAGAGTTACATGTTCTACTGATTGACCCAGCCCCTAGATTTTTCTTTCTTTACTTTTAAAGAAATCTCTACACCCAACATGGGGCTTGAACCCACAACTCTGAGATTAAGAGTCACATGCTCTACCAACTGAGTTAGCCAGGCACCCTAGTTGGCACAAGTATTAAGTCATGCTGTTTTTCAAGTCTTAAAGTTGAGAAGGCTGGAAGCCATTCCACCTTTTTGAAGGGCCTAAGTAACCCCAATACTTTCTGACAGGCCCACAGATTAAGGTGGGTAATTGCTTAGGACAGAGAAGGCACATTCACAGAAACCTCCAACTTAAACTTTTAAAGGTATTACTGAATCACATTAATAGTTGCAACTATGTGTTAAAAGCATAACTTTGTTCAATATAAAGACTTAAAATATACAATTTTATATCCCTGTTTTGCTGTTTCTTCACTTTAAAATTTCTTTCAAGTTTATTTTGAGAGAAAGAGAGAGACAGTATAAGCGGGGGAGAGGCAGAGAGAGAAGAGAGAGAATCCCAAGCAGGCTTTGCACTGTCAGTGCAGAGCCCAACACGGGCTCAAATCCACAAACTGTGTGTGAGATCATGACCTGAGCCGATATCAGAAGTCGGATGCTTAACTGACTGAGCCACACAGGCACCCCGTTTCCCCATTTTTAACCTGTGATTCATTTATATACCTGTGATCTCAAAAATCAAAGCGACCTATTCTCTGGACCTGAGAAAGGCCTTGAGCAGGCCCTGAGCACCCCTCCTTTTCTCAGTTACTAATTAGAGAGGGACTTAAGGAGGGCTCTATCCTAATCATTCTCTATCCCCACCCTTCTTACTTTAGAGCTTCATTAAGCAGTGTTTAGCAGATTCTGACCTTGAGCATTTTTCCTATGTTTATGTCCAGAAATAGCCATGTTCCAAGGAAGAGTTGCTGTATGTACTTATGACTAGGAGCTAGGAATCCTTCTTTTTTTCTTTGCCTTGGACAGGTTGACAGTCTTATGGCCCCTCCCTCCCTCCCCCTCTGATCCTCCACTCCTGCATCCATACTTCCCCTCCCCTCTCAGAAATGATTCTATTTCTGGAGCTCACAAGATGGCCCCCATGCTGCCCTGAGTCACCATCTATCTTTTTATGTACACTGTCTAGTTCTTATGCTTAAGGCCTGTAGTTGCTGTGTTAATTTGTCTATATTATTTTGAATCCAACCAACAAAGTACTATATTCATAGCAGACACTCAAAAAAAATGTTGATAATGTCATAGCACTAAATGGATAGCTGAGGGTAGCATAACTTTCTAGAAGAAAACAAGGTAATCTTTATTTTATTTTTTTGAGGTATCTTTATTTTCAATCAAAACTGCTTTTGGTTACCAGGTAGATGCAAACCAATGAGAGGCCATCCTAGAATTGTTGGTAACATTTGAATTCATCTCTCTGAACTTATATTCTTTTCTCTCATATTTATCTCTTCATCTTTCTTTCTCTGTTTCTTATTCTATCACTTTTCTTTTTCCTTTCCTTATTTAGTGACCTGACTTACCAAGCATCTAATAGCAGAAATTTCCTTTAATCTGAA